CTAATGTCATAAGCAAGCTGAACTCTCAGAATCATTAAGGGTTCATCACAGAACAATTTCGAAACATTTGAAAGCATTAGGAATGTTTCAAAAGCATTGGCTGCCGTACGAGTAGAAGCCGAGAGACGTCGAACGGTGTCTTTTCACGTATGAACAGCTGCTTCCACGGCAGAAGGGTTTATTTTTTTTTATCGTATCATTCCAGGTGATGAAACCTGGATACACTATGGTGACCCTAAGGGTAGAAGTTCGTGGGGTAAGCCCGGCTATGCATCAACATCGGCGGCAAAGCCGAATATCCATGGTTTGAAAGTTCTGCTCTGTTTTTGGTGTAATTTATTATGAGCTGCTCGAACCGATCGAAACCATTCACGGCTGATCGCTATCGACTACAATCGATGCGTTGGCGCCGAGAATTGAAGAAAAACGGCCGCTGATCGAGCAGAGTCGGGCCAACATGACAACGCTAGGCAACACATTGCAAAACGGGTGAAATCCTATCTGGAAACGCTTAAATGGGAAGTGCTACCCCCACCCGACGTATTCACAAGACATTACCCCATCCGATTATCACGTGTTCCGATCGATGTCACATGGCCTGGCTGAGCAGCACTTTCAGTCTTATGAAGATGCCAAAAAATGGGTTGACTCGGAATTTTCCGACATGGAATGCAAATGTAGCCAGAAAGATAGGAAAAGGTAGTAGGCAGCGATGGATAATACATGTTTCTTACTGGTTTTTGTAAATAAAACAGTACTTTCATCAAAAAAATAAACCCAAAACACCAAAAACTTATTCAAGGTCCTAATATATATATATATATATATATATATATATATATATATATATATATATATATATTAGTGGAAAATATACATACGTATGCAAAATATATAAATACCCATACATGTATATTTTTAGAAAAAAATTCAAGAGGAAGAATCCAGGTAGAACTCAATGTCTAGGACAGAGTAAGGATATAATAAAAAGGCTTAAACACTAATATTCCATGGTCATAATTTATTCCATTGGAATCGTAAATACGATTCAATTCATCTGACCTACAAATTCAAAAAGAAAACAGAAAAAAAAACAACTTCGGAAATAAAAACAGAATTTAGACAGAGTGTAATTATGAGGAGGAGGGAGATTAAACCTTATATGTATGTATATATTAACTGATTTAAAATATGGTTTCTTCGCTACACAGGAATTACCATGTTTCAAAACCGAAGCTAAAAAATTCAAACTTAATTATATAATTAAATTAAAAGCATTAGTTCTATTTCATCTTCAAGCGAATTTTGGAATAACTTATTTCAAAATTTACTGAGTTTTAAACACACATATAAATTCATAATTTTTAGTTCCAAGGAGTCAAAGAAATCCAATCATTCAGACACGGGCTGTTGCATGTTCATTTTTATTAACTATTGTTGTATTAATTATAAGTTAACTTCGAAAAAGAAGTTAACTTTAGGGACGGTAGGGGTGTATTTTTCAACGAATTTTGACATCTGTTCAACGCATGTCGTCTGTTTGTTTTTTTTATCAAGGACAAAAAGTTTTCGGGCATTTTCCATTAAATTCGTACTTGTATACTTAAAGATTCTTTCTAAAAGGAATGTTTGAGTTCGAATGCGTTATATTGAACTACAATTTGAAAATATTATTTTTACACTTAATTGATAATAGACTATACAAATAGAACACAGGATTATATATATTACTGTTCTTTCTTTTTACTATAATATATATATATATATATATATATATATATATATATATATATATATATATATGTATATATTGAGAGGATAAGACAGTCGAAAATCTTATGAATGATGCGTATCGCCAATGTTTTGGGGCTTGGCTTCTACAGGTTGGAATGAAAAAACTAAACTATTTAGGAAAAATTCATTAGAATTTTTAGGATAAATAGGGCAATAAATTAAATTACCTTATGATATTCTACAACCAGAAACTAGAAAGTTTGTGCTTTTTGTTTGCACACACACACACACACACACACACACACACACACACACACACATATATATATATATATATATATATATATATATATATATATATATATATATTAGAACCTTTTGTATCAGTTGGATTTTAAACCCATCCATTAAAACATGAAATTCCTGGTCTAAAGTTCATTGTTGAGAAAATATAAATTAGTGCACTTTTAATATATTTTTTCTTAGTGATTCTTTTCTCTTCTGATTAGATTGACATCCATTAATTAGAATTCCTGTTCAGATGTATTAAAGTGAAATGCCAGAACACTTAACCTTAAGATTCATCAAATTCATCTCTAAAGCAATAAAAAATATAGTTAGCACCAAACGAGATAGCAACGACAACAGGACATGTGCAGGGATATGCAGAATATATGGTACAAAATACACAGTGATGTTCATTTGCGAAACCTCCAGAAACCTCAACGAAAAGCTATATTAAGATCAAAGAGATATGCTACATAACAACACATTAAACTCAATGATACTATTATACATCCGACAAACCCATATCCTATATTTTACATTAGGAAGACTTCTCTATCTAGACCATTTTTTTATTAATTTCACTATGTATTGAATGTTATGGATAATCAAGAGTGGTCTCCCCTTGTTTCGTTACTCTACTCTTTGAGAGAGATTTTTTCTTTTTACTGGGACTATAAAATGACACTATACGCGAACCTTGTATTCTGAGTTAAATAAAAGTTTTCTTAAAGCTCACACCTGCGTACATTTGTCACTACAATAAAATGAAAAAATAATCTGTAATAGCAACTCAGACTCGTGACTCAGACCCGAACTAAAATAACATTTATAATAAGAAGAAATAATATTGGATAAAAAATAATTTCAATAAACTCATTTACACTAATACGTCAATAACTTGCCATGTTTTACACTAATACGTCAATAACTTGCCATGTTTTACACTAATACGTCAATAACTTGCCATGTTTTACACTAATACGTCAATAAATTGTCATTTTTTACACTAATATATCAATAAATTGCCATATTTTACAATCATTCGTCAATAAATTGCTATATTCATAAAAATATTGAGAATAACACGGGCGAAGCATGCGAGCAATGAGGAAGATTTAAGGAAAATGGAAACCTGTAGTTAGAATTAAAATAAAATGGAGTCCTGTTGCCATATATAGACAGGAGCTATCAACTCTTCACTCCATAGTTTCGAGAGAGTTCACAAGCCTCGCAGGGTCCTTCTGTCTGATGAATTATTTTCCACCCTACAATCCCTTTCCTCACAGACAAAACCTCTCGCTGAACTATCGCTATTTCGATGGAAAATATTCAAACGAACTCTAATCCTTATTTCCACCAGTTCTAACCTACTCGACTAAGGCCCGCCAACTAAGCGAACCACCTTCATTCCCTTTGTATACCATTGCTGAGATGTGAGTTTCACTTGGTCAACTTCTTCCCACGAACCGCTGCTTTGTGATACCTACTCCAAAAACGATGCTTCCCCGATCACTACAACCGTTATCTTCCTCACATATCCTCATAAAGTGTGCCTCTTACAACGTAATCCTCTAAATTGAGTCTCTTGTGCCCTGTACAGAGTGAACATCGTTGTGAAAAAAAAAAATACATAACGAATTGGCATTCCTTTGCGAAACACCGTGACTGCCGCTTGGAATTTATAAATTATTTGTCTTAAAACAGGTTGTTGTTGTTTTTTTTTTTGTCATAAAAATAGACTTCTCAACTCCAATAAATTTTATAACTCTTTCTAATATTTATGGGAGATTCCTTCCTTACATGTGGATTAATGCTAATGCTGAAATTCAATGTCTTGTTTATGTCACTCTTTTCCTTTCTCGTTTACATTTGCAACCGATTTTCGTTTTCAGTTCGACGTTTGTTTTGTTAATTCGTAAAGATTTTTCTTTGTAATCGCAGTCAGTATGTTCTGATGGAGAACTACCTTTTTTCCGACCTAAAAGATTCTTTCGCTTGAAGCCATTTTTAAGAGATAGTAAAGTGGCAAACTTTGTTTGGAACTACAAAGGAGAGCGTGTCGTGGAGAGCCATCATCGTTCACCCCCGGGAGACGGCACATAAAAGAAAAAAATAAGGAAGAGGACGAACTGCGGTTATATCGACCGAAACGCAAGGTAAAACACACACACACAAAAAAAAAACTTAGTAATTATGAGAATAGAAGTCCAAAGAAGAATGTTTATATCGTTGTGGGCCTAAATTATACGCGACAGAGAGGAACTATTTTTTTGTGCGTGAAGACACATGACACATTGATTATTTTTATCAATACGCAGCCTTTGCATTCGCCTTCTCTGTATTACACGTTGCCTGTTATCGTTTGTACGTGCGAAAGTCAAACAATCGTGCGCACAGGGCTAAACATTGATCGTTGCATTTCTGGAAGAAAACAGGAACCACCCAGAATGATTTGCAGTTTTGCATTGACAATAATTTCATTGTCTGAAATGAGTGCGTTGTATAAAATGCCGATGATCAGACATTTCAAAGGTAAAAGCCTGCTTCATTTTTGTGGGCGACGTTGATACTGTGAATATTGTTAGAATGTCGAAATGTTCATGTGAATGTAAGTTTTCAACATGGCTTCGTTTTTCCTTTCTTTGCTGAACCAGATTAACATTTGCAAATGTCTATATTTGCTTATTCGTTTTTTTGGTGTATTGGGAAGAAATATAAGAAGCAAATATCGACTGTCGTTTTATGAGTGTGGGTATGGAGAAGTGAAAATGATTGAAGCAGACGATAAGTTGAAAACAATCTATTTCGCGGTAGTGAACGGAAGAAGAAAAGATTGAAGAAAAAGAGGAAAAGATAATAAATTGAAAAAAAAAATAAGGAAATTATAAAAAAGGATAAAGAAACCTAAGTAAAACAAGGGAATAATAAAAAGAAGGAAAGAAAGAAAGAAAGAAGGAAACAAATAAACCAATTGTATATCATAAGAAAGAGAAAGAAAAAATAATAAAGTAAAAATGAAAGAAATGGAAATAAAACAAATATAAAAAAAAGAAAAAAGGAAGAAATAAAGTAAGAATGAAAGAAAAATCGAAATACAGATAAGGTAGAATAGAAGGAATGTTATAAAAGGAAAGAAAACGAAAAGTAAAAAGAAAGAAATAATGACAAAAAACAAATATCATAAAATAAAGTAAAAGAAAGAAAATAAGAAAGACACAGTAAGAAGTGGAAGTAAAAAAGGAAGAAAAGGAAGAAAAGGGAAACTGAAAAAAAAAACAAAGATAAAGAGGAAACGACAAAAAAGAAAGAGAAAAATATTTGAACAACAGAAGGAAAAAATGTAATGAGAAATAAGTAGATAAAAAGAAAAAGAATACAAAGAAAAATTTCGAACAACGAAAAAAAGTAAGAAAGACAAAGAAAACAAAACAAAAGATCAAAAATAATAGACATCCAAAAAATAGATAGATAGATAGATAGATAGATAGATAGATAGATAGATAGATAGATAGATAACGTTAGAATAGAAAATAATGTAATGGATAATATAATGGAAAGAGAAAAAGAAATAGTGAAATACAAAAGAAATAACGAAAGAAAGAATGAAACAATCAAACATTCCTAAAGGAAAAAATATGAATAGTATCAAAAAGAAAGAGAATGAATCAAGCGGAATGTCAATGAGAAAGGGAAAAAAAAGGGAAAGGAAGAGAAATAGAGAAAAGCAGAAAGAGAGCAAAAGAAAGAAAAAAAGAAAGAAAGAAAGAAAGAGAACAAAAAGTATATTAAAGAAAAAAAAAGATTTGTTAACAAACGAAGAAAAGTGAAATATAAATTTGAGAGAACAAAAAAAGCACGCAGAGTTTGTAAAACTAATTAGCATACTTTAGTATTTGAAGAACCACGCCCATCAAATTTACATAAGTACACTCAATGATAGCACAAAATTTACGCTTCGAAATATCTCTGTACTTATATTTTGCTTGAAGAAGAATGAAAAGAAGAGAAAATTCAATTTTCACGATATGTACCTCCGATACAAAAATTTGTATATTTTGAAAATAAGTTTATTACATTATTATACACAAGAAATAACAATTCCGTTTTTTTTAAGAAAATCGCTATAGCTTCAAAAAATACATACTAGGAAATAAGAAAAAACCTTGGTGTTGTTCGGGACAAGTCTTTTCATGGCCATTTCATTAAACGACAACTGCATGACATGAGATAAAATTAGCGAATCTTTTGCAATTAGGGGAATACGAAATTAGAGACTTTTTTTAATCGTTTATTTCATATACAGCATAGTATTCATGGGTGAATAATGATGTAGTTTAGTTTGGTTTATTTTGTTTTAGCGCATATCAACCCAAATAGATCATTTAATGCCGACAAGATATTTTAGGAGAGGTTTGTATAGAGTATGTATGCTTTCTAAGAAATCAGTTTGTAAAACAGGTGTCATTGCTGTTTTTGTAAAGAGGGTTTTTATCGAATTGTATTTTTTTTCAAACATGTATTTCTAGTAATTTTTTTTCTTTTCAAAAATTTATTTCTTGTATTTGTAATGTAAAACTCTATATTTATACTTTCATAGTATTTTGACCACAGTCTAAGAGTTAACTATTTGCAAATAGTTGAAACCCTAACAAGGTGCTACCACTTTGCGTCTTGATGAACGTGGGAACAAGAGCAATTGTGAGGTGGTTCGACGATACTCCCAATCAGAGGCCTAGCTGCCCGATGCAGTTTATCATCACACCCAGGAAAAGATGAGGCGGTTCCAACTTTAAAAGCAAAAAATAGTGGTAAGCAAATTTAGAAACCAGCAAAACAACAGCTTCTTTACAAAATCACAAAAGCCCAACCCGTACGATCACCAAAGTTAAGCAATGTCGAGTCTGGCCACTACCTAGATGGGTGACCGCATTGGAATACCACCTGCTGTAACCTTGGATGTACTAGTTGTATAATGGAAAGTGGCTCAGAATTGTAAATCGTAGGGCCAAGTTCCAATTTCCGTTGGTTTCGATATTTTCACTTACGTGCAAATAACCTTGGAAATCAATGAATAAACTTCTCCCCAAGCGGAAAATCCTTGTTGAAAACACAACTATACTTAAACATGAAAACAATAAACAAAAACTAAAAATTCTTGAAGCTATATACATAAAACAGTTGAAACCTAACCTGAACAAAATAAACTATGAAATCTCCACAAACATTCTTAAATGCCAACGGCTTCCCATACTTAATACTGGAATTCACTCTCGCGTGGTCATGTGTGACGTCATGAGCTGCGGTGCGATTTTCGCTTCCACGAGTTTGTTGTTGCTTGGAAATCTTCCATGTAAACAAAAACAAACTATCACAACTGCTTGGTTCGTATATTGCTTAATATCTTGTAATGTAATTGTTAGCTTTGATAATGGCTTATGTAAGCCGAAAGCTTGGATTGGATTAAAAAAATATGTATCAATATTGTGATTTTCTTTTTCCGTTTAATGATAATGTTATTTAGCATATCAGGCGATATGAAAAGAATTTACATGAAATAAAAAGACAGCACTGTATATTATTTAATGAAACATGTATCAATATATATATATATATATATATATATATATATATATATATATATATATACAGAGAGAGAGAAATATACATACAAATATAGATGACTATACTGTTTCGAAAAACCTCGAATTTTTTATTTGCACAGGGAAAAAAAGGTTTAAAAAAAGAAAGAGCTGCAAACATGAAAAAATCGCACAGATGCAGGTTTGAAGCCCAAGGAACAAACCCCCGATACGAGTAAACAACTAACTAACAAAAGGGATCAATACAACCGTAGAGCAGACCTAGATAAACCTATCGTCGGGGAAAGTCGGCCGACTTTTCCCTGACGATCCATTTAGGTGAAACCTAGGTAGGTTTGTCTTGTCAACTAGGTTTTATTTATATATATATATATATATATATATATATATATATATATATATATATATATATATATTGATATTAGTGGTCAATATATATCTATAAACATATATATATATATATATATATATATAAAAGTGAACACTGAAGTTAAAACTCAGAGGGCGACAGTCTGTTTCATGCTAGACGCAATCGTCGTAGTCTGACGATTGCGTCTAGCAGGAAAAGTGTTGACTTCAATGTTCCTTTTAATTTTTACACACGCTCTATCTCTGAGATTTAGCACTTTATCCCATAAATATAGCACATCGTAAGACTATATTTCTTTATATATATATATATATATATATATATATATATATATATATATATATATATGTGTGTGTGTGTGTGTATGTGTGTGCAAATTTACAAGAGCATAGGATCCAGGTAGAACTCAATATCCAGGACAGAGTAAGAATATAATATAAAATATAATATAAAAAATATAAAGAATTTGTAGGTCTAATGGATCGGATCGTGATTACGATTCCAATGTAATAAATTACAACCATGCAATATTAGTGTTTGAGCATTATATATATATATATATATATATATATATATATATATATATATATATATATATATATATGTGTGTGTGTGTGTGTGTGTGTATACGCACGCTTGCTCGTGCATTTATCTACAGTTATTCATTTGATTATTATATATATATATATATATATATATATATATATATATATATATATATATATATATATATATTCAGTTGTATGTATATGTTTTCTGAACCAGCTTTTCATATGTCATATCTATATGCAACATAATATGTTAGCTCTATCACTGATATTGAGCACATTCCAATAAGTACTGCGCATATAATATTTATTATTCTAGTTAATGGCTCCGTCCTAATATTGTTGTGCACTGTCGGAACTGCAGTTCTTTAGCTCAAATTGAAGTTCCCACTTCGGCATCCACAGCTGAAAACAAACCTTAATTTCGTTCGTCTGCGCGCACCCACTTCCGGATTACCATTCAAAAATACCAGTGTAGTAAAACTTTTTCTGATCAGTCAGAAAAACAGAGATATTTTTCGAAGCAGACGTCTTTTAGCCAGTGACTCATTATGAAACCAACGCTGATTTCATCCACGATAGCAGATTCGACCAGCCTGCCATTTTTCTTCCATGTTCCGGATGAATTCAGACCAAGGCTCTCCACAATTTCTTGTCGTTTTATGCTTGTAATAAATTATTTGGCTTTTTTTTTTATCTCTTCTAAACTTTATTCTGTTAACTATTTACTGAAGCGCTAGAAATTTCAGCAGTCTCTTTTTAAGCATAAGTCACCTTTTGGGCGCCATTTTCTCTAAAATTTCAACATTGCTCACATGTTCAGTCCATGGTATTCTCATCATCATTTCTGTAGAATCAAATTTCTGTTGTCTCAACTTTTTCCATCTGCGTAGAGATTGTCTAAAATTTATTGTCATACAGGGTGTCCATAAAGTTCGTGTGCACTTTAAAAAATTATAACTTTATTTGTATTCGCGATAGAAATAATTTGTAAAAAGGATTAGAAAGAAGTAAATCTATATAAAATGGCCCTTAAATTAAATAATAAAAAAATTACAATAATGATAATAAGATCAAGCATAAATAAATGGATTTCAAATACAGATAAATAAAAAAAAGGAAAAATAATAATAAAAAAAGGTGTTAATTTATAATTCTAAATTAACATCTTTTGTATTATTATTCTTACTTTTTTATTAAAAATTCATGATTGATTTTAAATTATTGTTAAAATTCTCTCGGAGAGAAATGTTGCATTTCTATATTACTCAAAGATCTTGCCGATGTGACCTCCATCTTCTGGCTTTCTCTTTCTTTATTTTGGATAAAAATTATTCCCTTATTTAAATTGAAATTTAAATTAAAGGGAAAAAATTCAGTGTGTGTGTGTGTGCGTGTTTGTGTGTGTGTGTGCGTGTGTGCGTGCAAAAACAGCTTGATCTGTCCCCTTTGATATATACAGTGTGTCCATAAAGTTCATGTGCATTTTAAAAAGTTTATAACTTTATTTGTATTTGCGATAGAAATAATTTGTAAAAAGGATTAGAAAGAAGTAAATCTATATTTTTTAAGGTTTTATTGAAATTTTATTTAATTTTCCACACATCCTCCATCATTAGCAATAAAAAGGGTAATACGATTTTGCAGTTCACGGAAAAAAATTGTCAATTGATTTACAGTAATGCCTGAAATCATTAATTATTTTATCTTTCAAATCTTCTGAAGCCATGCATCAAATTGATTTTGGAAAAAAGAAAATATTTTTTTTACTTATCTAAAAATGGTTACAAATTTTGTGATAAAGAATTATTCAATAACTACAATTAAAACTAGATACATTAAAGTTTATAACATTTTTTACAGATTATTTCTATCGCAAATACAAATAAAGTTATACATGTTTTTAAAGTGCATACGAAATTTATGGACACGCTGTATAGAAGGACTGATATTACGTGCAGTCTTTCTATGTGACTTTATTAAGTTCAGCCCACTATTAATAAATAGTATGTTGAGCAATGAATACCAAACGGCGTTAATTCCCATTTGTTTTTCATTATAACAGTGTTATTCACCGGAATTATACTATCGAGGAAACTACCTACCGTCCGACACCATCGCAGAACATAAACACGGCCAGTCTTTAACTTAAACGATTTGGCTCCAGACTCATCTTACTTTCCTCTTAAAATTATAGCGGCGATATAACTGCTCTGAAGAACTACTGTTTCATTTTGGAAAGCGTTTTATTATGCGACACCGAGATCCGAACACATAATGGATTAACAAAAGGAACATTCCAAAAGGTAAGCAAGGTTCTGTAAAACGGAAACAATATTCGTTTTAAACAAAGGAAACGGTGCTG